CCCTGCATTGGTGGGGGTTGGAGCTTCGTGATCCTTGAGCTCCCTTCCAACCCAACCATTCTGTGATTCTGCTCAGTAACTCATTAAAAAAAAAAAACAAACGTGTGAGATATGAGAATGAAAAAATGAGATTTGTACCCCAAAGAAGACAGGAGGAAGTGAAACAAAGAACTGAGGATCCAAAACAGCACAAGAAGCACAGACTAAACGTCACCAAGAGTTATCCATAGAGGACAGCCCTGCCTCCAGCCCCAGTCCAACCTGCAGGATGCACGTGGGGCACCGCCTCAGCCTCGTCTTCGCGCTCATCCTGAAGGGAATCGTCGTGGAACGAGGGATCCTCACTGCTGCCCTCCAGGCCGTTGCGCAGGGCTGCCCGCGGATTGAGGGCCACGATGGTGTCATCCACGCTGTTCTGGTGTTTGTGTGCTGTGTTCTCAGGGCTCTGTGGGATGGGCTTGGCAATGGGGTTGGTGTAAAACCTCGTCACCTCGTGGTGCTCCTCCTCCTCCTCGCGCTCGCCATCTTGCCTGTGGTTTTCATCAGGAGGAACCGACAAAAAGAACCTAAAGCAATGAAGAAACACAACAGTGGTTTTTTAGTTCTGATTTCGTTCTAATGGGCTCAGGTCACCATTACAATTCAGTGTCTTTTTGTACAAAAAGCAAACATTCCTACTCAACGAACTGCAGAGGCAGCAGGTAAAGGGAAGGCATTTTTTGTTCCCCTTTACTCCGCTCTTGTTCAGCATTCTGCATCCCACCTGGGCCCCTCAATGCAAGGAATATACTGACACGCTCCATGCTGGCACAGCACAACGCCCTCAGGGTGCCCCTAGGGGAGGCTGTGGGAAATGGGTTGCTCAGCACGGAGAAAAGGGCTGAAGGGAAAAGGAACAGCAGCTTTCCAATACCAAAAGCCAAGAGTCAGGGCATGCACAGATGTGGATGGCAGGAAGATGAGAAACAGTGGTCAAATAAAAACAAGGAAGCCAACGAGGACAGCTAAGTGTTGGAACAGAGGCTGTGGAATCTCCATCCTCGGAGCTCCACACCGGAGTCTTCAACAACCCAGTCTGAATTCAGTGCTGACTCTGCTCAACAGAAACACCTCCTAAGGCCATTTGCAGCCTGAAAGATTCGGTGATTCCAAGGAATCACTCTTTTCTGCCCCAAATACCCTGCTTGAGAAGCATGGCAAGATTAAGTCCTGCAGACACCATCACCAGCTCAAACATGAAGGCACTACTGCTACAGACATTCTAACACAACAACTTCAGAGCTGCCTGCTGTACATGGCTGCTGGCAATCCAGTTAACAAAAGCTCCTGTCCTACTGAGAACCACCTAGGTTAGGATTAAGGTGGTTAGAAAAAGTTTCTCCACTCCTGCAAGCAGTTCTTGCTTTTAGGAGCTCTCAATAAAATCCAAATGTTGAGCTACTCGGGATTTTTTTCTCCCCTTAGGCTCAGGTTTAGCTTTTCCCTCAAGAAATGCTGTGATTTGTCTCTACAGGAGGTGAGAGGAGACATCCCAGAGAAGTCAGCCCTCTGAGCTCCTGGTTTGGGTGCAGTGAGCTGGTAATAAGCACACAGGTAGAGCAGAAGGGCAGCCTGAGGGCAGGTCACTCACTCAGAAGGTCAACCTGCTTCCCCCATCAGCTATTATGACGCCCTCAGAAATGACCACCTACTTTTGTAACAGTAATTTGGAGACAGGAAGAACAGGTTTGTGCTTCTTTCAAGCTGAAACACACACATCAGCCACCACCATACCTGTCTCCATTCTCTGGGTACTCTGATGGAGATGCCAGGTCATCGTTCTCACGATTGACAGGAGAGAACAGGCTGCTGCCACTGAGGTTCTTCAAAACCAACTTCTTGATGCTCTTCCTAAAAAAAGAAAACAAAGTGAAGGCAAATATGAACTAAGCTCAACGATTACTTCTTCTTTTCGTTTGCGCCCAAAGGGTCTTTCAGTGACTGACTCATCCTTCTCCAAAGTATTTCAGTTTGATTAAACAAAGATTAAAACTAAAGCTCTTTTTGAGATTGCCACCAGTGCTCCTAGAGATCGAAACCAAAAGCCTCGTTAGGACACACGCACAGCATCACTACTCCATCCCAACAGTGTGAATCTGACACAGAACCAGCGTCAGGCCCTGAAATCATCACCAGCCCTCCTTCAAACGACACCATTAGCAAACCTAACAGCCCTGCTACCTCAGCTGCAGGGAGCTGCACTCTGTACAGACTTCCCTTGTAGAATTTCTAACTGACTTCACAGAAGCTTCACTGCAATTTCACCTCATTTCACAGCTCTTTGCAGTTCACATTTTAAGATGACCATTTTCGTCTCCTCTACAGAAAATATTTATCTCCAAATTAAACACAAATCCTGTTACTGCTATTCCCATTTACATCAGGTCGCAAAAAGCAACGGAATTCAGGAGTTCATCTGCTCAGAACTGAGGCCACGCTCCAGTTCTTCCTGCACCTCCTCCCCCCAATGCACAGAAAAGAACTAACTTTGGCATGAAGGCCCCATTGGACAGGGATGGCTCATCATCATCGAGGCCATCAAAGAGCTGAGACTTGGCAGAGCCTGCAGACTGCAGGGCCTTTGGGCGCACTCTGGTTGCCGGACGCGGGGTCAGTTTGTAGTGGGTGGGGGTTGTTAAGGCCTTCTGAGCTGCAGGGTTGGTCGGTTTCAGCCGCTGGAAAAGAAAAAGAATTGGAATTTCCATATTGTGCACTGTACAGACATGTGGAACATACACAGCACCTGCCAAAGGCCTTAAGGAAGTGAAAGACATGATGGGACACCAGTAAAGAGGAAGAGACACAAAGCTGGCCGATGACAACGCATGGGAGATGCTGAAGACCAAGGGCCATGACACCACAAACACAGCTTCTGGGCAGGGCCAAACAGGGCTGTAACCACTAACAAGTGGGAATCATGGAATGATAGAATGGCCTGGGTTGCACAGGAGCACAGCGCTCATCCAGCTCCAACCCCTGCTGTGTGCAGGTCGCCAACCAGCAGCCCAGGCTGCCCAGAGCCACATCCAGCCTGGCCTTGAATGCCTGCATTCAAGGATGCAGGGCATCCAATGCCAATCCAACATGGATGGGGCATCCACAGCCTCCTTGGGCAACCTGTGCCACTGCCTCACCACCCTCTGCCTCCAAAACTTCCTCCTCACATCCAACCCAAACCTCCCCTGTCTTACTTTCAAGCCATTCCCCTTGTCCTGTCACCACCCACCCTCACACACAGCCGTTCCCCCTCCTGTTTATCCGCTCCCTTCAAGCACTGAAGGCCACCATCAGGTCTCCCTGCAGCCTTCTCTTCTCCAAGCCCAGCTCCCTCAACCTAAGGAGTGCTCAGAGGAAGCCACAGTGAAGGGAGACAGAGTGAAAAGGTATCAAACAGGCTGGCTTTGTGTACACCCTTGTCAGCCAGCATGACTGTGTGATTGACACTTGTGCCTGATCACAACCTTCTCTCCTTTCTCAATATCCACAACATCCTTAACTTTCAGTGCAATCTCTCAGTCTGACTTGTGCATACGAACACAAATGGAGAGAAATGCAGGAGTGAATTTGTGGCCAGCATCTGGAGTTGTCCTGGCAAGGATATCAGGTAAATGACTCAGCATCTAGGAGGGCTCAGGATCTGGGCAGAGGTAGCAGCCAGATAGAGACAAAGCTAAAGCTCAAGAAATGCACAAATGTGCAGGTGAATCCACAGAGCAGAGTGTGTGTACGTTCCCTATGGACCTCCAACCCTCGTCAGCCAAAGACAGAAGTGATTTGGCTGCCTCTGCTCCATCTAGGCAAGTCCCTCAGGGCTCTTTGGGGGTGAAGGCAGTGCCTCAGCTGTGTGCAGCTCCACACTGCATGGATCTGTGATCCCTGCCCACCTCACAAACTGCTAAGACTGCAAACAGGAAAGCAGCAGCCACCGTTAGATGATAACAACGGCCCTTTTCAACCCAGGCCATTCTATAATTCTACGCCCTTCAGCTTGGGAAGGAGACCCCTGGGAGCACTGAGATGGGCTCCATCAACTAAGCAGAACAGTCACCCTCCAGAATATGGAAGGACAGCAGCCATTTCTACATCCCTTCACCCTCAGAAGTCTGAGAAGCGCCTTGTGGCTGTTCTCAAACCAACCAACAGGCTGCCATAAGCAAAGCTCAAGTCAAATGCTTCAAGTATGCCAAACACAGACAGTCACACAGTGCAACTCTCAGCAGGAACCCCAAAGTCAAGCAGTGATGTACCAGAAGTAAATGAAGCCCCAGAACAAGCAGTTTGACAGCATAAAGGAAAGAAAAAGTCAATCTTGCATCAGTAAAGCATACAGATGGCAAGTCCTTATGCTGCTCACTGCATACCTGAGTGAAGACAGGACAGCGTAGCAACTGAAATCATTTCAACCCTTTCCCAGGAAATTGAGTTTAACACACTCACCTCTTCTTTCTTCTTTGGGTCTGACATGGGGTTTCTGAAAAGTGGAGAATCTCCAAAGGGTGAATAAGTCAAATTATTGAGGTGCTGCTGCAGGACTGCCTGCTGGGCAGCTGATGCATTAGGATCTGTCAGTGCTGCAAAAAGAACAGTTTTCAGCAGTCAACACTAATAGAATCAAGGCAGACAGAAAAGACAACCCTCAGCCAGAGGCTCTCCTCCCAGCAGTTCCAAATACACAATTAACATCCTTTTCTCCCTGCTCTTCAGAATGCTGAAGGAAGAAACCATATCCTATCCTTTCGTTGGAATTTGGAAACGCTTTCATTCAAAAGCTGAGTGTGGAGAGCTACAAGAGGACAAGCCTGGCCTTCCAACACCTTCACTTCATATGCTGGGTTTTTGCAGCATTATCTGTTGATGTCTTGGAAAAGAAAAAATCCTGGCTGCAATTCTGACTTTCCTGCTGCAGAGATCAAACACAGATCCCAAGTCCCCTCAGCAGAAAAGGCCTCTTCAATCCTACAGCATCTAATTTTAGTTCCCATTAAGATCCTACAGAGATCACATTACAGAACATCTAAGAGCATAAAGCACCTTGTTTTTAATTCCAAGACCTGACATCTTTTGATCCACCTCTGCCTGCTCTCAGCCATACAACAGCAGCTTCTCTCTGGCAATCTCACCAACCATCCAAGCACAGAGGTGAACCTCAGACATCAGCCAGCTTTTGTGGGCCCCTTCCTGCCACGCAGTGCTGTGTGCCACCCCTCCCTCCTTCCATCCCACTGGAAACCATTTCCTGACCCTGCTACCTGTGGGGGGTAGAGCACCATGGCCATGTGTGCCACCCCAAAGCACTCAGCTCTGCCCAGCAGGACGCAGTGCAGGACTTGGCAGGCACTACGACTCACAGAATGATGCACTGTGACAGATTCTACCACCACACTCACCTGCTAAGCACCCTGAGCTCTGCCAGATAGCATTACTTAAAGAATTAACACCACATTTCCTCTTTTAAATGTATGAAATGCATCTACTGCTCTGACCCAAAGTGACTGATGGGAAGCATCTTACAGATTTTGGAAGGAAAGCACTGAAACATCTGTAAGTGTTAAGAATGTTGATGGCAAATTACACTTGGAAGAACAGACACGTGATGCTAAGGAGGGAAAAACTGCACAGCCTACGTTGCTACTGAGAGCAGAAGCAGCCTCAGGTGGATCCTCCAGCATTTGTTTGGCTGGAGGGAAGCAGTGACTGAACTCAGGCTGATGCACACTTACCTACAGCAGGCTGAGGGGCTCCAAAGCCCAGAGTAGCAGTGGAGGTATTGAACCCTGGTGCTCCAAAAGCTCCTGTTCCCAGCGTCCCACCGAGTTTAGGCTGGGTGTTCCCAAATAATGAAGTCTGTCCTGCCCCGAGGGCTACGGCACGAGAAAACTCACTGTAACACTTGGAATAACCAGTTTATCCCATAAAGAACTCATTAACAAGCTGCAAGAAGCACTCGAGGTGTGCATGAGTGCTACAGACACCCCAGGCTCACACAATCAGACCAACAGAGGCAACCAGCAGCCTGCTGAGCCCTCAGCCACAGCCAGGAATGCCACTGCCCACAGTTTCTAACAGGTGGATCAGCACAGCATCATCCAGCTCTGCTCAATTCTGATGTAAGACAGGTTTGTGACTTCAAGCCAAAGCTCCTACAGCCACTGCTGTATCACCAGAGTTAGTGAGCGATACAAAGACTTCACCAAAGCTTGAGGACTGTGCTTAAGCTGAGACAGAACAAGCCAGAGAACTGCTTACCTGTTCCAAACCCTGTCCCAAGCCCGGTTCCCAGGGTCCCCGTTGCAGGCTTATTTCCAAACAAGCTATTTCCAGCATTGTTGGCACCAAAACCTTCAAGGACACAAACAGGAGCTCATTAATCTAAAGCTATTAGCGATGAAATTTAAAACACAAATAAGCATCAGCCACTCAAAGACAGCTCTGCCACAGTTAAGGTCAAATTCTACACACCACTGCCAAAAATGCATGTCAAACAAGCAGCAAGAAGGGACTTCAGTGGTAAAAATAACGTACATGAGTTACAACTATACAACTGACAACATTAGTTTAGAGATTTACTGCCTTGCTTTCTTAAGCTTTTTAATTTGTTACAAAATCCAGTATTTTATAAAGCCAAAAAGGACATCATTATCCTGTCGCCTGTTACAGCATCAAGCACATTTAGTTTCTTGAACTGCCTGCAAGGAACATCCCCACTGCATACTGTCTATACCACACACACCTCTGGTTCCTACTGACAAAGCAAGGAACAGCCCCCAGCCAGGAGAGTGCACAGCTCAAAAGCACACCTCTAAAGCTCACCCAAATCCAGCACCACACAGGTTAGATTGTAAACTGAAGGCTGCAAAACCATTCTGTTCATGGTTAATTACGTAGGCATTAATTAGTGTAAGGACAGAATTAAGCTAGACAACTGCAGTCACAAACTGGCACCAGAAGCACCCCAGACCCAAACTTCTCCTGCCTGCTGCACTGCTGCAAACAATGCAGGGCCATTAACACAAACACTGGCATTGCTCCTGCTCTCTGCTGCAATGCCCAGCTGCCTGGTTCTCAGTACAGCAAGGGATTTGGAAGCAACTTCCATATAAAACAGGGTAACAAGGTGCCCAAGCTCTATCACCACAATGGGACTGGGCCTGCTGCAGTGCTGCCCTGGCAGTCTAAGAGCTGGACAATTCCTTCCCTCTTTCTGGAAGATGGATATGGCAGAATATCAATTTTTAGTCTGCTTTTGTAGACAGAAAAGATGCCAGATCTTCAACACTGTAAACCCAGCCCTGCTCCCCTTGAGGAATAACAGTTCTGCTGCTCTCAGTGTCAGCAGACAAAGGAAGACTGACATTTACTTGAACAAACACACATTTCATAGAATCACAGAACGGCCTGGGTTGAAAAGGACCACAATGATCACCCAGTTTCAACCCCCCTGCCATGTGCAGGGTCACCAACCAGCACACCAGGCTGCCCAGAGCCACATCCAGCCTGGATTTCTCCTGGACATTTCTGCTGCCTGATCACACGCTGAACACCAAACACCATCAGTGTCAGAGGCAAACACTCATGCAAGACCCCAGCCTTCAAAAGTATAGATTCTCAAAGTGTGAAAGACAGCAGCTATCAGTGACACTGTTTCTTATCTCTCTTATTATAAATCCCCTAGATCTGCCATCGAACCCCAGACAGCACTGCGTCCCTCAGCACTCCTCTGCAATCACAGCTGCGTAACAGGCTGCAGACACACAATGCTGCCTTAAGTCCTTTGATTTCAATTGCTCTTAATTACAGCTTACACCTTCCTAATTGAAACAGCGGGACTTCAACTTAACTACCTAGGTCATAAGTCAGGGAGCAGCACAGAGGAAAGGAACAAAACAGGATCCAAGGTGCTCCTCTGCAGCAACGCCCCTCAGAAGGACGGCTTACCTGAGGATCCTAACACCCAACCGTTAGCATGCGACACTCAGCAGCCAGGTGTGTGGTATATGCAGTACAGTTTTAAGTGACTGAATCCCACTTTTTTTCATATGTACCAAAATTGGAAGTGTTTGTATTGGTTCCTAAACTCAGGGTTGGTTTGTTACCAAAGAGCCCGCCGCCAGTGGTTGTACCAAATGAGGTACTGGTCGTGGTGGTTCCAAATCCAGCAGGTTTGCTACCAAACAGGGTCTGGAAGGAAGAAAACATCAATTTGGAAACCTGACAGCAGGATATTAAAAGAAACATTGATGAGTTTCATTGCAGGCAAGAAAGCAGAACTGAAGCCCAGCACAAGGCCAACTCCCAGCAGCGCTGTTATGTGCGACCACCTCCTGGAACACAGAGTTTTTCACTCCTGTACCCACAGGGCACACATTAAACCCCAAATAAGTGGCTACTGAGAATCAAGTTCATTCTCATTCAGGGACCATCAAAATGCCTGTACTGCCAGCAGCACGCCAAGGCTCCCCAGCCATGTCTGGCCTCCCTTCCTGCTCCAGGCACCACCAGCTCTACTGCCCACCCCTACTCAGAAGGAACTGCACTCCTGCCCTTCAGCACCTTCACTTCCACAGCACTGCCCTGACGAGGCCAACACACAGATTCCAGATGCCATTTTGTTTTTATTTGCATTCATTTTATGTACAAAAATAGGAACGTACCGAACCGCCAACACCAAATCCTGTGTTTGCCTGTCCAAAAAGCCCGGTTCCGGTCCCAAACGCAGTGCCAGCATTGGTAGTGGCAGCTGTTCCAAAAAGGCCTCCGGGCTGCGAGGGCTGCGTGGCCCCAAAGATTCCCTACAAAGAAGAATTGCATTAAAATAATGCCACAAAGTCCAGCTGTGATGATAAAAGCATGAACACCAGAAGTCTGTTAATAAATACTGCGGTGTTTTCCTTTTTGATGGGGAAAAAGGTGAAAAAACATTTCAGGAGCTTGATTCAATCAGGCAATTAGTTACAGTAAGGAAAACGAAGGAATTTGTGCTCCATACTGTAGTTTCCCCTCCTCCCCCACTGTGAGCAATGCAGATGGGCAATAACCATTGCAGAGGGGTTTCTGAGAGAAGCCACAGCGCAGCAAGGAGGAATGCAGCACATCTGTAGCCAGAGCCTCTGGCTATACACTAATTACAGCCATGCAGTGCCTCTCTATCAGATGACCCCTCCAGTGATGCTCATTAGCCACCAGAAAGCATAGAATTGTTAATAAATTCCTACAGAATGCTGACAATCAGTAACAAGTAAGAGAATTTTATCATCTGCACGAATATGATTGGAAATCCTTGAGCTGCTGAGAGCAGCCATCTTCAAAAGCATGGGAAAAGCTACCTGGGAAAAGTTGAAGGCTTTTATTGTAAGCTGTATGAGCTTGTACCAAAAATGAAAAACATTGATGGGTGTGAAGCACCTCAATCAGACAGCAGAGCTCAGAGCTTCGCATGTGAGTTCCAAGGAAGCTGTGAAACAATCTGAGGAAGACCAGGATGACTGCATCACAACCCCCCCTGCACAGCTGGAATGGGCACACAACAGCAACGAAGGGCTCACACAACTCATCTTACCATCGTGCTCGTGTTCGGCTGTCCTAGAGTGCTGGTATTCCCAAAGGGAAAGCCTGTGTTCTGCGTCGTCGTGGCCTGACCAAATGGTTTGTTAAACAGACTTGTCGTTTGAGTCTGCTGACCAAAAAGCCCTCCTGTTGTTCCTGTTCCAAAGCCAGTCGTAGCTACAACACAAAGAAGTTGGTTTAAAAAAAAAAACCACCCTCAAGTGTTTATCCCAACCTACGCTCAGCACATTCAAACAAGAAAAAAAGAACCTCAGTTCAATGGAACAGCAAAACACACGAGGCCAACGCAGCACAGCTGCACTCAGATGGAAGCAGTTGTGCATTTTATTGTGTTCTCCTTGTGTGAATTTCTTTAGAGAGAGAGTGGTGAGGTGCTGGAACAGCTGCCCAGAGAGGCTGTGATGCCCCATCCATCCCTGCAGGTGTTCAAGGCCAGGTTGGATGGGGCCCTGGGCAGCCTGGGCTGCTGCGAGATGGGGAGGTTGGTGGCCCTGCATTGGTGGGGGTTGGAGCTTTGTGATCCTTGAGCTCCCTTCCAGCCCAAACCATTCTGTAATGCTGTTAAAACCCAAATTCAACACAGGAACTGAAGCAGCACGCCTCTGTTATCTTACAGCTGGAACAACGTGGCAATCAGTGGAGGAATTTACCCTGCTATCCCTCAGAACAACACAGCTTTCAATAGCTTTCAGTTTCACTTTGTGAAGCAGTTTATTCCAGCTCAGGATACAAATCCCCACTGCACCCAGGGGTTGACTGCCTCTGTGGGCAGGCTGCACATGCAGCTTCCTGCATGGTTATCTCTCTCAAGGACTGCAGCTTAGTGAGCCCTCACACTTAGTGGGCCCTTAGTGAGCCCAAAGATAAAGCCTAGCAGGGCCTGCCAGCAAGGACAGACACATTCTAACCTCAGAAGCAGCAAATCTTTGCTTCTGTTCCCAGTTAACTTTACATTTGGCTTTTATGTTCCATCCAAGAACGCTCAAAAGGTGTGAAACCAGGCTGGCGCAATCTGGAAGGGTCCGGGGAACAGATCGTGGCAAGGTCTCATTGGGTCACTATAAACATACAAGGCTGTGGCCAGGGAATTCATGCCTGCTCATTAGCAGAAAGCAAGAAAATCTCATTACAGAACACTGATAATGCAGGCAGTCAAACTCTAAGCTCACACCAGCAATTCCTCATCCTGCTCAGCTGAATAGCTTAATGAAGCATTGGCATAGCTGGTCACAGTGGAGCAGCACGCAGGCAGTACTTACTAGTTCCAAAAGCAGTTTTATTCTGTCCATAGGAGAAGCCTGTATTAGTGGTAGAAGAGCCAAAAAGTCCCGTAGCTGTGCTTGAAGTAGCAGTGGAAGTCCCAAACAAGCCTGTAGTGGCTCCTGCCCCCACAGGATTCGAAGGCCCCTTCCTATTGGCCATGTAGTCTTCTAAACGCAGCTCCTAGTAAAGGAAAACCATTTCTCTTTATGCAGAGCAAGGCTAAAGCCAGGCCACCAGTATGCTCACACAGCTCCCAGCCTGCCCAGCACGAAGGCACAACATCAGCTGCTAACAGCTCATTTTAAAACAAGAACTGATCAACAAGACCCGAGCTCAGATGCATCACTGCAGTTATGCCTGGGCTTCAATTCTATTTCTAAGGGCATTTTCAGAGCACTCCTGTTTTCAGCTATCAGTTAAGCAAGCTGGAACAGGAGGGCTTCACGGCTGTATCCTTGAGAGCAGTGGTTTACATCAAACAACTGAGTTTTGTCGTGGCTTCTGCCATTATCTCATCAGCACAGTGCTTCCAGCAGGATCTCACCCTCCTGATACACAGCAAGGTGGAATTTCAGCTCTTCAGAAACTGCAGTGAACACATTAAAAACCAACACCAATACAACGACGTGTTTCGTTTCATGCTACTTCTGTGCATGATGCAGACACTGAAAGCTGCATTTGTTAGCAAGCACATACACTATTTATCACAGTCCAAGAAAGCTCTGCTAAGCCAATACTAATTAACAGCTGTACCAAATCAACATGTTTGAACATTATCGACTGACCTCGAGAGATTTGCTCTCATACTCCTTCATAGCAGTGATGCATTGGTGCTTAGTATTGATAGTGGTGCTAACTCCAGACTTGACCATGCTATCCGTACCAGTTGGGGGCTGCAAGAGAAGAGGTTAAGCTTCAGATGTAAAATCCAGAGAGGTCTCTATTGATGCAGTTGTTCCTGAGCAGATGCTGTAAAGTTCTTTAGAGAGAGAGTGGTGAGGTGCTGGAACAGCTGCCCAGAGAGGCTGTGATGCCCCGTCCATCCCTGGAGGTGTTCAAGGCCAGGTTGGATGGGGCCCTGGGCAGCCTGGGCTGCTGTGAAATGGGGAGGTTGGTGGCCCTGCATTGGTGGGGGTTGGAGCTTCGTGATCCTTGAGCTCCCTTCCAACCCAAACCATTCTGTGATGCTGTTAAAACCTAAATTCAACACAGGAACTGAAGCAGCACGCCTCTGTTATCTTACAGCTGGAACAACGTGGCAATCAGTGGAGGAATTTACCCTGCTATCCCTCAGAACAACACAGCTTTCAATAGCTTTCAGTTTCACTTTGTGAAGCAGTTTATTCCAGCTCAGGATACAAATCCCCACTGCACCCAGGGATTTCACCATCCCTGCTGGCTTTCAGCCCCGTTCCCATCTTACTGCCCTAGGAAGAAGCACCCGGTACCACTCTAACACTGCCTAAGCTGATCACTGCAGCTGTGCCTCCAAGCAGAGATGCCAGGCACAGCCCTGCTCCGTCACATCAGGTAACGGAATTCCCAGCTCATTCCATCCCTAAACTGAGCAGCTACTGAGCAGAAAGCAGCCTTTTGGGCACACAGCAGTTACCCCATTTCCAACAGCTCTTCTTCCAGGCCGTCCTCCATTTTCAACTGCCACAGACCCTCAAGGACCCCCCCCCCCCCCCCTCCCCCCCCTTAAAGGGAACTCATCCAAAAAACACACAGGGCATCACTGTTCCAATCTCATTTCCATTCCCAATGCCCAGTGAGTGACAGGAGCATTTCTTTTGACCCACATTCCAGAATAAGTTCAGCTGTGATCACCTGGAGCTCTGTGACACCTCCTGCCTGCCCACGAAGGCCCACCCTATGAACAGCTGTACATCTCAACCTACACAGGGCATTACTCTGGGCTGTTCAATTAGAACAAAATGAAAGCCTGGGCTCTTTGCAGATTAATTGCAGTGTTAGTTACATTTTCACTGCAGCAGTCCAACTAAGGGTATTTCCAAGCCATTTCAAAACACTGCATGTTTATGCATTAACTGCTTCCTATTTTTAAGCTCATGGATCCAGGCACTGCTTCACACATAGAACTGCAGGATGGAACATTTCCTACAGCAAAAAGGCCGAATTAAGAAGGAGAAACAGAACTTACATTGAATTTAATGGTTGTGCCAGTCGGAGCAGCAGTAAAACTGGTTGGGCCAAACAGAGAGCCAGATGGATTCCCAAAAGGATTGGAAGTGGTGTTGGTGGTTCCAAAGAGACCTCCACTGCTGGTACTTGTGCCAAAGTCTGAAAAAACAAGCAGGAACAGAAAGATCAGCACTAAAACAACCATTAATTTAAAGCTTAACGCCAAATATCCAACCCGAGTTAGAAAACAGTTTGGAAACAAAATCAACTGCGAGGGAAAAAAATAAACAGGGCAGTGTTGGAAACCTGTGGTCTGTTAACATAGTGTAGATCCCCCCCACCTCATCACCCCAGGAAATAGCAGAGAACCTCAGCACCAAGTTCCATCCTGCTGACAGCAGCACCCGTAAATGGATGTGCACAGAGACAACAGGAAGCTTTGGCTTTCTTCAGAAGTTATGACAGAAGTGCTGAAGGGGCATTTCAAATATTGTAGCACCAGAAGCAGAACTAACTGTAACTACTCGACAACAGCAGAACAAGAAGCTAAAATCAAGCAGAGCCAAAGGTTAGTTAAGAATAGAAAACACCAGTTGGTCACTTATGTGTGAATTAGTGTAAAACTCAAGGCTAGAATCACAGCTACGGGTTTTGCAGCATATCACACTGGCATCTGCCTACTGTGGATCATAACAACAAAACCAAACATTAACACTTCACATTAACACTTGTACCAGGCCCCCACACACACCCAGCTTCCCATGCTTCAGTCAAACTGTATCAGCCATACTCAACAGACACGAGAGTTCGACTCACTTCCAAAGCCAGCAGGCTTGTTCTGTGCGAAGGCATTGCTCTGGGATGAGAAGAGGCCCCCACCAGTGCTGGTGGTACCAAACAGGCTGCTGGATGTCCCCGTGGATGTTCCAAAGCCAAAGCCAGTGCTGGTGGAGGAGGTGGCGGGCTGATTAAAGGCGTTGGAACTGAAGAGCCCCCCTGCAGACAGAAACAAAGCTGTGAGTCGTTTGCCATCGTTTCGCTGCTCGGTTTGAGGTTTTGGTGGTAAAAGTCATCATTTCTGCCTCCAGCTGTAACGCTGCAGTACCTGGCTTTGCCTGGGTGTTCCCAAAGAGGCCCCCAGTGTTGCTGTTTGCCCCAAAGGCTGACGTGCCAAACGCTCCTCCACCTGTGGTACCAAAGCCAGCATCTGGAAAATGAGCACCACAGGTTAGATAAAGTCTTATTCTGAACACACGTACGAGAAACTAAACTGAGATTGCCTTTCCAACTTCCAAGCCAAAGTCTGTGCCTGACCAGCTGTACCTCAGCATCAGAGCAGCACCATTAATGCTTTCACAGCTCTTGCAGAAGGAGCCTACGGTGCTGAGTCAGCTGCTGCTACACCTGGCAATAACGCTCAGCCCCACACCAGGCTGCAAGGCTTCCACCCCCTGGAAGCTGCTCTGCACCAATCTTAGTTTGGGAGCAATACAAGAGCAGAAGCTGTCTTCTCTTCCCACCAAGCAGTGCAAACACACTGATGGATGGTCTGCTTTCACGGACAGCAATCCCACTGTGCTGTTCATTTCCAGAGAGCTCCCACATCACCTGCTTTTTCCTTCCCATATTCCAGTCCCGACCGAATGAACCTTCCTCCCAGCCCAGGCAAAGATGCCTTCCCCAAAGCATCCAACTTCCCACTCCTTTTATAAAAGGAAGCTTCATCAACAGCATGCAGAATTCTGCTGTGTGCTGAAAAAAGACCCCGTGAAGCAGGCTTGGGCTTCTGATTCTCTGCTAACACAGCTCTGCTTCCCATCACTGCCAAGCAAGTGAGCTGGACAGCCCACAGCAGCACCCTGCTGCCATCACACACAGAGAACCCCCACCTCTGTGTGATTCTCAAGCAGTTCTACTGTGGAAAATAAACCACACCAAGCAGTGCAAAAATCAAAAGTACAGACTTAGATGTATTACTTACTTTGTCCAAAAGTTGATGTTGTTCCAAAGCCAGTGTTACCTCCAAAAGGAGTCCCGAAGGATTTGTTAAACATTTTCAGTATGTTATCAGTTTCCTTTCCTTAAACCTGGAAAGAAGAATCTGGTTGAGCTTTCAAAGCTTTAAATGACATTTCTCACCTTCCTCACCGCTGATACTCAGCAAACTGAGTACTTCAACCACGAGATGCACAACAGCACGACTAAAGTCACTGCAAACAGCCAGAACTGCTAAGGAGAGGAGAGCACTGACACTTCAGCAGCACAAGCAAGCTCCCTTCCATTCTTTATGACGTTTCCTACAAACCCACGTGCTGAGATAAGGCAGCTACACTGCCCAGATCTGCCCTCTCAACAAACAGACATCTCTCACAAACGGTGCTCCCCACACCTGATCCACATGCACTGCACATCTCTGCTCAGCCATCTCACACCTGAGAGCCCACCAGAACACAGCCTTAAGAACAGACACAGGGATTTGCACTGAACTACAGCCTAAGATTGTCCACCGGGGCTTTTCTGTTACAACCTATATGTTCCAACTCCTGCTAACACAAAGAAATGCACTGCATGAGAGCTACAGGAACAAACCCTCCTCCAGCTCTGCTTTCATTGCTTGCTGGGCTCACCAAGATGTCCTCAATCCAACATTCTGAGCATTTCCATGTAGCTGCTCACTGGGTGTGTGACACACCCCAACACCCCATGCTGTTTTACTTAATTGTAGGTGTAACAACACTATGTCCAACCTTGTCACCAAATACAAGCACAACAGAAATATCCACTTCTTCATCAAGAATCAAATTGGTCACAGAATCACAGTGGTTGGAAGAGACTTCATGAGATCACTGAGTCCAACCACCCCTGCTGGTAAAGGAGGAGATCATAGAATGATAGAATGGCCTGGGTTGCAAAGGAGCACAGTGATCATCCAGTTCCAACCCCTTGCTGTGTGCAGGGTCACCAACCAGCAGCCCAGGCTGCCCAGAGCCACCTCCAGCCTGGCCTTGAATGCCGCCAGGGATGGGGCATCCTACAATAAGTCTCTAGTAGGGTAGATAACAGCAAGACAAGGGGAAATGGTTTGAAGTTGAGGGAGGGCAGGTGGAGGTTGGATGTCAGGGGGAAGTTGTTTAGAGAGAGAGTGGTGAGGTGCTGGAACAGCTGCCCAGAGAGGCTGTGATGCCCCGTCCATCCCTGCAGGTGTTGGAGGCCAGGTTGGATGGGGCCCTGGGCAGCCTGGGCTGCTGTGAGATGGGGAGGTTGGTGGCCCTGCATTGGTGGGGGGTTGGAGCTTTGTGATCCTTGAGCTCCCTTCCAGCCCAAACCATTCTGTGATGCTGTGAACAAGTCACACAAAAATGAAACCATGACAGGAATCACAGCATCAGAAACCCGCAGTCCTTTTCTGCGCTGAGACCACCAGTTACTCCACCACGAAAACGCCATAATCGCTGGCAGCACTGTCCAGGTCCCGGCAGCGCAGCCCCACCACGTTCCCCCATTACACAACGATACCAGCAGCCTTCACACAGCCCCGCTCCCCGCACCGCACACCCGCAGTTCACCAAACCGCGGTGCTGAGCCCCAACACGGGGCAGCTCCCTCACGACGCTCCCGCAGCCCTCAGTCACCTCAGCGGCGCCGTTTCATACCGCTATCCCGATCATCGCGACATCCCCCGCTCGGCCCCGCTCCCGGCTGCACCGCCCGCAGGCCGCGGCGGCCCGGCTCCCGGTTTCTGAGGCTGCTCTGTAGCGAGAAAGCCGTGGCGCGGCCCGGAGACCCCGAGCGCACTGCGGACACGGAGCTCACCGTCGAAGAGAGAAGAGCAGCGCGGCCCGGCCGGGTCCGGCCCGTCCCGGCCCGAACCAGCCTCGCCACTCCCGCGCCGCCGCCACACACGGAGGAAGCTGCGTCACAACCCGCTCCGCGCGCCTCCCAGCGGCCCACGCGCCGTCCCCGCTCCCTTGAGCCCGCAGCCCATTGGCTGCCCCCTCTCGGCGGCAGTGAACGGACCCACCCACTCTCCCTGTCTCCTTTTTTCTACTGGCTAATGTGGAGATAAGCGCCGAGCACCGATTGGTCTCGCCCGGGAGGGGGCGGGGCTGACGCTGCGGAAGAGTCCAGAACATCCCTCCCGCCTCGCCGCCCAGCATCCGGGCGCGCCGGGGGCGGGGCTTCTTCCGGCCCGCCCAATCAGAGAGATTCTCGGCTTCCTGCGTGCGCCGCGCACAGGGCGGGGCGCGTTTAAGCGGTCCGCCGGTCCGGCAGGGGGCGCCCCACGCGGAGCCTTCGGGCCTTTTAGATCCGAGCCCAAACCTGGGCTTGATGGGGCCGCGCCGCGAGGGGCGCCCCCGGGTGGGGCCTGCGGCGGTGCTGCGGGACTGGGGCGGGGGGGGGGGGGGGGAGGACGGGGGGGCCGGGGGGGGGGACGGGGGGGGGGCGAAGGGGAGGAGGGATGAGCAGGTACGGACAGCGGGCCCAGTGGAGCAGGAAGAGGCGGGGGCAGATCAGGGCGGGCATGGAGGAGCGAGGAGCGGTGTGAGGTGTGCGGTGCGCGGGGCGGGAGGAGTGGAGCAACGGGGGACAGCGGGCCGAAGGGGTGAGAGCGGGGAACGTAGCGAGTGGGGGGGCGGCCCTTGGGGTCCGGGCCGTGAGGGCGGTCCGTGCGGCGATGGGGGCTGCAGGGTCTCGGTTTGTCGTGAGCCCGGGCCGGTAGGGGCTCGGGGTCTGAACTGCAGCTCTACGGGCAGCACTGTGTGACGGCTGGGTCCCAACTTTGCCTCTCCACAGCTCTGTGCTGCTTCTGCCAGCTGCGTCCAGAGCAGGGACGTTAAGATGGTCAGAGGGCTGGAGCAGCTCGCCTGTGAACACAGGCTGAGGGAAGTGGGCTTGTTGAGCTTGGAGAAGGGAAGGCTGTGGGGAGACCTCATGGTGGCCTTCCAGTGCTTGAAGGGTGCTTAAGTTCTTTACGGAGAGAGTGGTGAGGTGCTGGAACAGCTGCCCAGAGAGGCTGTGATGCCCCGTCCATCCCTGGAGGTGTTCAAGGCCAGGTTGGATGGGGCCCTGGGCAGCCTGGGCTGCTGTGAAATGGGGAGGTTGGTGGCCCTGCATTGGTGGGGGTTGGAGCTTTGTGATCCTTGAGGTCCTTTCCAAACCAAACCATTCTGTGATTCTGTTTGATCCTATGGTGCATATAAACAGGAGGGCGAACGGCTGTGTGTGAGGGTGGGTGGTGACAGGACAAGGGGAATGGCTTGAAAGTGAGCCAGGGGAGGTTTGTGTTGGATGTGAGGAGGAAGTTTTGGAGGCAGAGGGTGGTGAGGCAGTGGCACAGGTTGCCCAAGGAGGCTGTGGATGCCCCATCCATCCCTGCAGGCATTGGAGGCCAGGCTGGATGTGGCTCTGGGCAGCCTGGGCTGCTGGTTGGCGACCTGCACACAGCAGGGCTTGGAGCTGGATGAGTGCTGTGCTCCTTTGCAACCCAGGCCGTTCTATGATTCAGGCACACCGTCCTTCATTCAAAGCATCAGCAGCGGAGCTGCCTGGGCAGGGGGTCCTACTGTGTCCTCACCTCCATGGCTGCAGCTGCGTCCTTAAAGTTTGCATCCCACAGTAAAGGAATCCAGGCAGAGCAGCAAACCCTGAGGTGATCACATGGTTTGACATCACTCTTTGCTGCTCTATGGCAGCAGCACCAGGCACTGAGCAGGACCCTGCCCCACGTTTCTCAGCAGCAGCTCTTTGGGCTGCAGCCTGAGGTCACGCTGCAGGATGTGACCCTGTGTTGCCCTTGGTCTGTTGATAATTGGCTTCAACGGGGATTGTCTGCAAGGAGGATTTGTCGTAGAGCCCGAGGTGAGGGAGGAAGCTGGCACTCAGCATCATGGCCCTTTGTCCCTTGTCCCCAGGTGGAGGGGAGGCGGTGTGGATGGGAGAGATTTGGGCCACACGCAGCAGAGTGATGATTTGGGGTTGAAGTAAAGACATGTGCAGTGCTGGGGACTGCAACTCTGTGCACCACAGCCTGAGGCACGTAGGACAAACAGCAGTGCCTCAGAGCTGGAGTGCACCTGGCTGATGCTGGGGCATTGAGCCAAGGGCAAGCTGCCAGGCTCGATAACTGGCCTCACCTGACCTGTCTGAGTTGTTGAGCATTGTTTTTATCATGCAAGCTGAAGGCTGTGGTCCTGCAGCTTCCTTGAGGTGTGGTGTTGGCTGTGCTGTGCTCACAGTGCCCCATCTGGGGCAGCATGGTGCCGTGTCAGCACAGCAGCTCTGAGCTCGGCTGAGGAAGGATCTGGATGGCTCTGCCCGGCAGAAATGCAGTCGCGTGTCTCCCAGCCTCGTGGTGCAGAGCTAGAATCGTGTCCCATGCAGCTGATGCTGCTTTCTACCTCTGGCGCCTTCATCCAGCACTCAGACTGCTGTGAAACACCGGCTGTGCCCAGGTTTCTCTGTTTGCAGCTTATTATAGCTTGATGCATCTATGCTGAGAGCTGCTGGGGACTGAAGGGCAGAAAATCCCTCCCAACATGTGCTTTGCTTTTTGCTTCCAGGTCCGTCAGCATGCTCCAGGTACCGCTGCCCCTGGATCGTGATGGTATCCTGTTCCGGCTCCGTTTCACCACTCTGGCTGTTTGGACTGTGTTTTGCCCCTTGTTTGGTTTCCTTTTCTGCGTGATTTGGTCTCTGCTCTTCCACTTCAAGGAGACAACAGCCACGCACTGCGGGGTAAGTGACATTCACCTGCAGGGCGCTGAGCTCCTCCGGGTGCTGGCTGTGCAGGGATCCCCTGTTTCCTACCACAGGTGCTTTGTCACCTTGAAGGATTTGTTTTTGTGTTGCTTCTGAAGGGGCAATTGAGTTTTCAATTTTTGAAAAGTGACACTGTGCAGATTGGTGTTGATGGCCATACAGAATAAAACTGACAAGGCTGAAGCTAAGTATGCTGTCTTGACAAGGAGTTCCTCTTACAAGTGGAGTCACTGCCTCTCACGTCTCTTGGAGTTCTTTGGAGCAGCCTGTGCTATGTGCCTGGGAGCTCTGGCTGCAGGGGACAGCCGGGTTTCTGGAATGCATCAGGTCGAGTTCCTCAGCCATGGCATAAACATCAGTAAGCAGCAGGTGTAGAGCTATGAGAGGAGGCGACCCTGGGGTTGTGCAGGATCCCTGCTGCTCCTCCTCCCAAACACAGCGGGGTGATGAAGGTGGGGGGTGGTGACATGGACTCCTGAGGGCAGAGCAGTGGGATCCCAGTGGTGATTGATTGAGAGAAATGACATGTGCAATGTCCCCTCCTTGTGGGACATTGCCCCCTCCTCACAGGACAGGCGTGTTGGGCAGTGCAGCAGGGATGCTCTGAGGTGTCCTGCAGCTTGAGATGTGGAGTGAGGGCTCCTCAGCTTCAGCCTGCAGAGATGCTGGGATGAGAGCAGAGAGGTGGAGGCCTCTGACGTCCTGGCTGGGTGGGAGAGCAGACAGGGACCCACTGCCTCCTGTGCCAGTGTGAGGAGCAGGGGAGATCATGAAGCACTGTGTGTGAAGCAAGTGAAAGGAGCTGTTTCCTCAGGCAAACGGCAGTCAGTGTGAGGAGCTTCATTCTGCAGGCTGTTACTCCACATGGGCGCCATCAACGCTGTCAAGAGCAGACCAAGCTGTATCCAGGACTGCAGAGCCTTTGGAGCAGCTCTAAGAGCCTGTGGGGCACCAGGTCTTGGCTTTAATCAGAGGAAAGATCTTTGAAGGAGCCACTCAAATCCACTGGATCAGCACTTGATCATGATGCTGCTTTTGGCTCTTTAGATCAGTGAACTCTTGTCTGCTGAGGACTGAGAGAGTCCATCCCTCAGAGCAGGGGAAGAGCATCATCAATTGCAGGATAGTGAAGAGAGCTTTCAAGTGAGGTTGCTGGGCAAGGGAAGCCTCCATCCACGCCTCTTATTGATTCAATGCCAGCATCAGCAATCGATGCCTGGAGAAAGGAAAGGAATCAGACACTGGCAGGAGAGCTCCTGGTGGGAGAACAGCACATAGGAATTGCAGCCCCTTTATCCAAGAAAACAATTTCATTGGGGACTCAGCTGAAGTGTTTCTAAAGGATTTCATGCACCATGGGAAATAAGTGGGGATCTGGGAGGTTTACATTAAACAAGACTTTACTAAACTAAACTAAAACAAGTTTTAGTTAAACCAGACTTTGATCCTTCTGATTTCCTCCCTGCGCAGCTTGTTTACCACACCAGGTGATCTTGGAGGTCTTTTGCAGCCAAGCTGTGATTCCATGGCATAGTTGTCCTGCAGGGATCACCTTTTGTATGGCAATCACAACTGGCTGCACATACTTGGAGGTCAGCTCCAAGGTTTTCCTGCTGTTGTGTTTCTGAACATCACCTTTGCCTGCTGTTGCTGTCAGCTTTCTGTTGTTTCAATGTCGTTTCGCTTCCCTGCTCTCTTCTCTCTCTGAACCTGGGGATGGAATCATCGAATCATTAGGGTTGGAAAAGAGCTCTGAGATCACCATGTCCAACCCCAACCCATCCCCACTGTGCTCAGTAAAACATGTCCCTAAGTGCCACAGGTACACATTTTTTGCACATCTCTGGGGACGGTGACCTCACTGCTTCCCTGGGCAGCCTGTCCCTGTGCTTGAGAAGGGAAGGGAAGGAGTGAGGGTTGTGGATGTCAAGCGGAGAAACCTGAGCAGGGTTCTCAGCTCACCGAACCTTCTCAGTAGGCTGTGGAGGTGCTGGGGGCTGGATAGCCCTGCAGGATGCATCAGGACTGCTGCTGTGTTACAGAATCACAGGCAGTTCTGTACAGTCTTTGAACAGGAGGGTGCCCAGGTGGGTTTGGATGTCTGCAGGAAGATCCTCACCTCGCAGGGCAGCAGTACTGGAGCTCTGCCCCCCTCACAGCACAGATGGAACTCCCTGGGCTGCAGTCTATGCAGGTGCTCCTTGTCCTGGCACTGGGCACCACGGAACAGAGCCCAGCCCCATCCCCTGCCCTTCAGACACTGATAAACTTCACTTATCACCCCCTACACTTCAGACACTGCTCAGATCCAGCCTTCTCTCCTGGAGGTGCACAGCCCTGGCACTCTCAGCCTGTCCCCAGCACGAGGTCCTCCAGGCCCCCACCAGCTCTGCACCCTCCTCAGGGCTCTCCCACCAGTTCCCAGTCCATCTGGAGCTGGGGAGCCCAGCACTGGGTGCAGTGCTGCAGCTGTGCCCTCCCCAGGGCAGAGCAGAGGGGAGGATCTCCTCGCTCACCCTGCTGGCCGTGCTCTGCAGCATATCCCAGATCCCATTGGCCTTCTTGGCCGCAGGGCACTCAGCTCAACCCACTGCTCAACCAGGACCTCCAGGCCCTTCTCTGCAGAGTTCCTTTCCTGCACATCAGCCCCACCATGTCCGTTTCCTGTCTTTTGACGTGGCATTTGTGCCATAACGAGCCGTGCTCCCATCTTCCAGGTCCCAAACTACCTGCCCTCCATCAGTGCTGCCATCGGAGGAGAGACCCCACAGCGCTACGTCTGGAGGCTCTGCATTGGTCTGCACTCAGCTCCACGTTTCCTGGTGGCTGTTGCCTACTGGAACCACTACCAGAGCTGCCACTGCTCCCACCCTCGCTACCTGCGCCTGTGCCACCTCAACCTGCTGCTCAACCTGCTCGAGAACTTTGCTCTCCTCGTGCTGACCTATGTGTCCTCCTCAGAGAACTATGGTACGTGGCTCCCTGCAACTCTGCATCAACCCCTGCATGCTCAGCTTGTTTGTGGAAGCTGAGCTCTGTAAAAGTTAGGATTTATATTATAGAATGATAGAATGGCCTGGGTTGCACAGGAGCACAGCGCTCATCCAGCTCCAAGCCCTGCTGTGTGCAGGTCGCCAACCAGCAGCCCAGGCTGCCCAGAGCCACATCCAGCCTGGCCTTGAATGCCTGCAGGGATGGGGATATGTGCAAGTTACATCTGTAATGTGCTTGTAGCTCAGCTCTAGCTGAAACTCACAGAATCATGGAGTGGTTTGGGCTGAAAGGGACCTCAAGGATCATCCAGTTTCAACCCCCAGCTGTGGACAGGATTTCCAGCCACTAAGTCGAGCAGCAGCTCAGGCTGTTTGGGGCCCCATCCAGTCCTGATCTCCAGGGATGGGGCCCCCACAGCTCTGGGCTCAGTGTCAGAGCCTCGCTGCTCTCTAGGTAAAGAATTTCCTCCTCCATCTGGCCTAGATCTCCCATTCTGAAGCCATTCCCATTGACCGCAGCCCTTCAGCTCCGACCTTCCGGCCAACTCCTTATCCACCAAACAGCCACCCTCTGATCCATGCCTCCAATTTAGGGATAGGGATGTGGTGTGGGACCATGTCGAAGGCCTTGCATACATCCAGCTGGATGGCATCCTTTGCCCTTCCCTTTACCCACCAATGCCATTGCAGAAGGCCTCTAGATGGATTGGGCACGGCCTGCCCTTGGTGAAGCCATGCTGGCTTTCAGATCACGATCACATCTCTGCAGTTTGGGAAGCTTTCAGGAACTGGATTTGGGTTTTTCTTCTCTCCCTAACTTGAATATTCATGACTTTATTGGTATTGTGAGGTCTGCAGGAGGTGGCTGCACTGTCACCTTTCTGTATTTATGCACAACGAGGGGAGTAGTGAAACTCCTGTTTGGGGTTGTGAATCTATTCTGCACACTCCCTGCTGCTTCCATCTGCTTCTAAGTGCTGTCCTTACAGTCTCATTTTTGCCTCATCTGATGGCCTTCGTGGCACTTCTTGGCTGGCTTTAATGAGCTCAGTAGCAGCCCAATGGAGTATACTTCTAAATTCCTTGGTGTGGTTGCCAGTGAGGTACGTGCCACAGGTTCCTTGCTCATATTCATGCCTTTTCTATGCATTGTATGTTGTGTTGTGCATCACTGCATCTGGAAAGCAGTCAGCTGTAAAGGTGCATCTTTCCCAGGACACCCCTATCCAGGGACCTGGGATGAGAGCTGGAGCCTGGCTTAGAGCACATCAGGAGCATCAGAGGGCTGGAACACCTGGAAGATGCTCAGCTAATTAGGCCCACAATGATTGCTGTTGGCCAGGTGCTGCTTTCTGGCTGAGCCATTAGCTGCACTCTGCCAGCAGTGGGTGCCCCTCTCCAAAGGTTTTGTCCCATCAAACTATTTTGGTAGTGAGGCTGGAAGGCAGCTGAGCAGCTTGCTGTCACATCCCACGTTGGGTGTGGGGCAGCTCAGAGCACAGGTGGGCTTTGGGCTGGAGGTGATGGCACTGCTGGAGCACCGTTCTGCCGTCTGCTTATCTTTGGGACTGGCTGAAGGTTCCTTGGCCCTGCCTGGAAGGTGAAGCTGAGTTCTTGTAAGCAGCTGGAGGTTGTAGAGCTCACTTCAGCATCATCACAGAGGTGGTACCACGTGAGTGCCTTCAGAAAACCCATCCGTTGAGTTCATCCTGCCTTGGACTGGAGCAGACATGAGAAATTTAGCTACAGATAGGCAGTGCAACTCTCCAATCCAGTGACATGTCCTGCTTTGTAATAACAATAAAAAAACCTACATGTGCACACATACTCTGTGAGCCAGTATTGGGATCATGAAGGTTATCGTGTCCGTTTGTGGAACGTGGCCTCACGTTATACAGTGTGACAGCTGGGGAGACAAAGCAGGTATCACGGTGTTGCTCATCACCTGCCATGGGCAGCAGCAGCCAGTGCTGCACAATCCCTGTTCCTGAGCTGGCTGCTGCCATCTGAAATGTCCCGGGTTCAACTCTGGCCCAAGAAGCTTCTCTGTGTGATAGCATTGTGGGGGAGAAGGGGATGCACAAACCTTGTTTTCTTTTCTGCTCGCCTGGAAATGGAAAGCTGAAGAGCAGCTTCCTGCACTGAATGGCACAAAGTGGTAAACTGCAGGAGGACACAACTAAGCTGTGACTTCCCCTTCACTTTAACTTGCACTGTTAACGTTGCGACACTGAAGAAAATGGGAACGGGTTCTATGTTCCTCCCTAAACTTAAATTGGAGTCTTGACACGAGCAAGGCGGTGCTCCGCTTCGTGTGCAGGTGATTGTTGGAGATATTAAGGTCGTTTTCTTAGCGAGCTGTTGGAATCTGTTGTTGTCTGATGCCACCCCTGTGCCTGTATCCGCAGAGCCCCGAGGTGGAGCAGGTGGGCAGAGTGCTGGAGCTGGACAGTGACATGGCAGACGTCACCCAGGAGCCTCCCCAGGAGCCTGCAGTGCAGGACAGCATGGCAGAGGAGCTGGAAGCAGTGCCTGCTTCTGCTCACATCGCGTCGACGCTGGGCATCAACCCCCATGTCTTGCAGGTAAGGCCTCGTGCTTTTCTCTTTGAGAGGTGCTTTGGCACCTGTTGGTGATGCTCGGTGTGCCTGCCCTGTCTGTGTGCCTCTGTGTTTGTGGGGGATCTTCAGAGGTCCAGAAAGCTTAAAGCACAAACACCGAAGCACCTTGAAAACGATTTCAAAGCTCTGAATTGGTGAGCTCATACTTAACCTGGGCTGCTTCTGACCCAGTTAGGGCCGGCCGTGTTAATGGGATAGCTGAGTTTGACCTTGTGGCCTGTTGTTTTGGCTGATAGTTTGGTTTTTTAGGTGGGATTTTGTGTTGTTTTGGGCTTGTTTGTTTTTTGCATGAAAAGATAACAGCTTGAATGCTCGTGGCCTTCTACCTGTATTTCCTATCTAGGAAAATGCAGTCGTGTTGCTTAAGCTGAAATGTTCATAGAATGGCTTGGGTTGGAAGGGACCCAAGGATCATGGAGCTCCAACCTCCCTGCTGCATGCAGGACCAACCTCCCCATTTCACAGCAGCCCAGGCTGCCCAGGGCCCCATCCAACCTGGCCTTGAACACCTGCAGGGATGGACGGGGCATCACAGCCTCTCTGGGCAAACAGTGGTAGCCAGAGCTAAGATCTGAAACCCATGGTTATTGTAGGACCTTGTGCCCATCCTCCCAAGCACTGTGGCAATATAACTAACAGTTTATACAAGTTTATCAATAACTGTGAAGTTTGCTTTCATTTCTCCTGGACTGTGGCATGCAGTGTGGTATGAGAGTCTTTAGTTGTACACAGTATGTGGAATTGATCTTTACTGGGAGGGGAGCAGATGAGATCAGCTGGCTGCTGCCAACAGAATGATTGCTGACATGCAGATTTGGCTTCTGCCCTTTTAGATTATGAAAGCTTCCTTGCTTGCTGATGAAGACGACCTGGATTTAATCCTGGACCATCACTCTGGGAAGCAACCTACAAAAATGGATACTTCTCAGGAGATCTGTTCTCCAAGGCTCCCTATCTCAAAATCCCAAGGGCAGAAGAGATGCTCAGGTACTGTGGCAAACCACACTGCATGGAGAAAGAGTTCAGTTCTAACATCAGTATGCAAAACCCCGTTACTGTCCGAGTGTGTGGCAGAGCAGCTGTGTGCTGTGGCTTTGGCCTGCCCTCGAGCTCCACAGCCAGCTCCCAAGGCTGCAGCTCCTGCCTTCCTTCCTGGCCTCACTGCACACTGCTGCGTTCCATGCTTCTGTTTTCTCTGCCTCACGTTCCCATAGGGGTGCTGCAGGCTCCCCTGCTGCTCCGTGGTGCTGTGTGTGTCCCACAGGGTGGTGATTGCAGTAGTAGTGCATGTCCTAAGCGTGGAGTTGCGTCCTGAATGAAATCTCAGACCTGAAATTGAGGACAGTTTCAATCCTGTTAATCAGTGTCTGCTTCCTCTGTAGTGTTCCTGTCCTCATGGTTTAATTATATCAGTTAAAGTCGTCATTACTTTCAAATCTCCATTTTTGGGGTGAGGCTACATGTCATATCACCTTCTTTAGTTTGGACCAAATCATTCTGTGCGTGGTGGATTTCATGACTCTCAAAACTGCAAGCAATTGCTTGTAGCTGTGCGTTGCCACAGCAGATCGAGGTGAGCATTTTCACTGGCTGGTTATGAAGGACTGAAATACCTCTGAAATCATAGAACCATAGAATTGCTCAGGTTGGAAAAGACCTGAAAGATCATCAAATCCAACCACAACCCAACCATCCTAACCTAACCAACAACCCTCAGCTAACTCATGGCCCTGAGCACCACATCCAAAGGCTTTGTAAGCACATCCAGGGATGGGGACTCAACCACCTCCCTGTGCAGCCCATTGCAGTGCTTTACAGCCCTTTCTGTACACAAGTGTTTCCTGAGATCCAGCCTAACCCTCCCCTGGCACAACTTGAGGCCATTTCCCCTCATCCTGTCACCAGTGAGAAGAGACCAGCCCTGCTCTGCTGCAATCCCCTTTCAGCTACTGGAAGAGAGCAATCAGGTCTCCCCTCAGCCTCCTCTTCCCCACACCAAACAGCCCCAGTTCCTTCAGTCTCTCCCCATAGGCCACATTCTCCAAGCCTTCCCCAGCCTTGTTGCCCTTCTTTGAACCTGCTGCAGCACCTCCATGTCCTTTCTGTACTGAGGTGCCCAAAACTGAGCACAGAACTCCAGGTGAGGCCTCACCAGTGCTGAGTAGTGAGCAGGATTGCTTCCCTAGTCCTGTTCACACACCATTCCTGATACAAGCCAGGAGGCCATAAGTAACAGAATATCAGAACCTCTTGATGAAAGGCAAATGCACGTGTGGTTAACTGTTCTTCCCCCTTCTTCCCTCCAGTCGCTGGGCTGCTGCAATCAAAGTTTGCTGATACCATTTTCCAACCACCCAGCACTGCACTTTATGACCTCCAGGAGCCGAGGGTGTCTCGCAGCTCCCCTTCCCCTGCCTGCTGGTCAGCATCCTCTCCATTAGCATCAGCCTTCGCCG